GTTAGACCCTGTCTCGAAGGAAGGAAGGAAGGAAGGAAGGAAGGAAGGAAGGAAGGAAGGAAGGAAGGAAGGAAGGAAGGAAGGAAGGACAGGTGAGAAGAGATAACTTTCTTAAAGCCATGACTTTGTAAACTCTCGTGTGTTCTTTTCCATAGTCTTCAAATTATTTGTTCATCTTCTGCCCTGAGTATAGTCTCAAACATAGGTGTTGCTGGTAATGGCAGTAAAGACTATAGAGAGAAGTGTAGTGAGTACCTACCTAGGCCAGTAGCCTTCAGGTTGGCTTCCCCTTGAGAATTAGCGGGGCCAGCTTTGGCACCAAGCTCCAGCCCCAGCCCCTCCAAGTATTTGTCAACAGATGGGCCTTGGGCATTAACAGATGCTAGATTCAGGAGGCTGGAAAGTGCAAACTGCAGTCATGAGGACCCACCCAGTTCAGATCCAGCACGTACACTGTCAAACCCACAAAATAAGTTTGTCTAAAGTTGATAGGTCAATTTTGTGGGGAGAGTAAAATGTACCAAAATGTATGTGAGAAGATATTAACTGTATTGTATAGAATAAATGCACACAGACTTGACAGTGCATACATCTGTCTGCAGAGTGCCTTCCTGTGAAGGAGGCTAAACCATAAAATAAGACTGGAATCTGTTACTGGGGGATGAGGGTGTGGAGGTGGGTGAGACAGAACATGGGTCTGTGCTCCCCCATAGGCTGTGGTTGGCATCTGACTGAGGTTTCCACACAGGGTTATTTTTGTTGTTTTTTTCTTTTTTGGTTTTTCAAGACAGGGTTTCTTTGTGTAGCTTTAGAGTGTGTCCTGGAACTCTGTAGACCAGGCTGGTCTCAAACTCGTAGAGATCCACCTGCCTCTGCCTCTGCCTCTGCTGGGATTAAAGGCATGCACCTGGCTCTCACACAGTATTTATAAGGAGACAAAGGGTATGAACATTCCCTGGCCAGTAACAGAGGCTACCTAGAAACTGTACACACCCTGTTGCACTCGCTTGAAATTGATTTAACCTGGGAAAAGCTGCAGCAACACCACTAGGCAAAAGTGGCAGCTAGAAGTAGGTAACCCTTATCCATTCAATATGCATTTCATCCCCTTACTGTGGGGCCTGAGGCAGGGGTAAACATCAGTAGGCATAATCCATATTCATGAAGGTTATTTGAGTTGGGGTTGTTACTTGATAATGCTAACAGGTTCCCTTGGCTTAACTTCATTTAGCTCAGCTGTAAAATGGAGCTATCCTGGTACCTTCCCCTCAGGCTGTTGATAAGGGAGACAGATGCCCTGCACGTATTTAGCACAGTGTGCAGCACATACTTTTAAGTTTAGTAAATCACCAATTCTCACTAAGCTGAACAGGCATCCTCTGGATCTAAGAGCACTTTAAGTCATTGGAAAGCTGTTGTAATCCAGATTTTTCTTGTTTTGTTGTGTTTTAGGTTAAAAATTTGTGATGATGCTGCACACATTTATCACTTGGTAAGTCTCAGCAAATGTGTGTCCATCACCAGCATGCCTGCTCCAAGTCATCCCATCCCTAACCCTGACCCCCAGTCAACTATTTTATACCTCCATAAACAAGTAGCTTGTTCCTAAGGGAAGCCTTACCCTCTCCAAGGAACAGATGAGACGTGGTCGTGGTGGGGACACTCAAGGAGAGGAGGGAGGGGGAACTGGGATTGGAATGTAAAAAAAAAGTTAAAAAAAAAAAAATCAAGTAGCTTGCCTGTTCTGGGTTTATCAGTGAAATATTCACTGCCTGATCCTGTATAAAGCTGCTCATTGAGTATACTTTGGCGAGTCATGCATGTTTCCTACAGCTCAGTATTATGTGATGGCCCTAATTAAATGCAGGTTTACACTTTCAGGTGTATATAAGCTCTCCCCAATAATAGCTTGAATAGATACTTCTCAGGTGAGAATCTGTAGGATGAGAATGGCCAGGCAAAGACATTTATGGAAGTGGCTAGACCATTCTACACTCCTGTTGACAACTTCTTACTGTTCTGAATCTGTTCTGTTCTTGCCAACAGTGGGAATCTCCAGTGTTCAGTTGGAGCCATTTTGGTGGGTACTGACTGGTTTTTGTTTCCCACATGTCAAACACCAGGCCTTTTCAGTCACTCTAGACTTTCCTTTGTAAAGTTGTATACTTTGTCCTAATTGGGTATTTGAGTTGGTATGATGTTTGCTTTCCTTATTATTGAGCTATAAGATTTCTTCATGTTTTCAGGTATGATAAGGTCTTTGTCAGGTCTATTTTCTCCAAGCTGTAGCCTGATGCTCATGTTACTGTCCTAACAGTTGTCTTCTCTGAGAAACATAATGACATACTCCATATGGTCTCGGGGTTTCCTGGCACTTTATTCTTTATTTTATTTTATTTTATTTTATTTTTTTTTTTTTGGTTTTTAGAGACAGGGTTTCTCTGTGTAGTGACCAGGCTAGCCTTGAGCTCACAGAGATCCACCTACCCCTGCCTCCCAAGTGCTGGGATTAAAGGTGTGCACCCACCACCAGCTGGCTCTTGGCACTTTATAACCTCAGTGTTAACAGTTTTAGGTCTTGTAATGTAGTTTAACTTAATTCCTATGCATAGTGTTAATCTGAGGACAGATTTATTAGTATTTTTTACTGGAGGTGTATAGTGTGTGTGTGTGTGTGTGTGTGTGTGTGTGTACATACATACATACATATATAGTAGATAATGTAGTTTTGAAATATGCTCACATTGTGGAATGGCTAAATTTCTAGAACATATCATTGGGATCATGTACTTTGTGGGTACATGATTTCAAACTGGCATTTTCACTTAGTATTGGGCACTGACCATATATTTTCTCAGCTTGATATAAAAGCTCCTTTTTGCACTTTACCTTTTGAAGTTTATTCACCCACTTACTTGTGGATATCTTGATTGCTTATAGGTTTAGGCATCTATGTAGGGGATTGAGATTGTTTCCAATTCATTTTGACAAATACTTTTAAGTGTGACTCTTGTATTATATGTTTAGTTTGTTTCAATTTTTTAAAGAATCTGCTAAATTTAGTTCCAAGATAACTACCTATGCTGAAGCCTTGCTAGCACTTGGTATTGTCAATGTTTTGGGTTTCAGTCTTTCTGAAGGGTCAAAACCATACCTGTATCTGTGATTATCATTTTGGTCTTATTTTTCTAAGTCTATTAAAACTGTGTTGTGAGCTGTCTTCATAGAATAACTTTTTATTCTTTTCAGAATGAAAGAGAAACTAAATCCAGACACCCAGCAGACTGGACATGTGTAGCCTGTTTTCTAAGAAAACCACATCCAAGCATTGCTTTGTGACTATTCCTGAAAGACAGGTACCATACTGCCCCTGAGGGATGGAAAAACTAAGTAGGCCTCTTAGTTTCTGCCAAACTACACCTGGAGAGAACAGCATTATATACTTGTCTATCCTCAGATACTAAGATTTTAGCTAGGGGTGGTGATGCACACCTGTTTGACATAGCATTTGGAGGTAGAGGCAGGAAGATCAGGAATAAAGGCTCTTCTCTGAGCTACATAGTAAGTTTGAGGCTAGCCTGGGTTACATGAGACCCTGTCTTAAAAAATAAAGTTCTCTCAGAGTAAGGAACTCAGTTCCACCCTTAGAGATCTTTCTCCTCTACTTTGAAGCTTTATAAAATGAGTAGCTTAATCTCTGCATGGACTTCTGTTGCCACCACTGCTCCCCTAAGAGTGCATCACTGCTTGGTGATGAACAGTTAGGGGCTATGTCCAGTCGCAGGTTCTAATCTGTGCAGCCTGGCATGTACCTTCTGAAATGGGTTTTCTTTCCCAACTATAGGTTCCTCCCCAATAGACTTGCTCTTCGTGACGTGATTTTTGTGGTACACAAACTGCTGAGACTCTCCTCCCTTCTTAACTTTTTCTCCTTTTAATTTCTGCCTTTCTCCTTAAATAGCTGCTTTCCTTTTTCAGTCTCTGCCTTCATCTTAAGAGACTTTCTAAGCCCAAGCTCTTCAGCTAGTACAAAAATCCAGATTTCTCTAGCACAGTAGCTCTCAACTGTCCTATTGATTCGACCTTTTAATACAGTTCCTCATGTTGTGGTGACCCCCACCATAAAATTATTTTGTTGCTACTTGGTAACTAAGTTTGCTAGTGTTACAAATCATAGTATGCACTATCTGATATGCAGGATATCTTATATGTGAAAGGGTTGTATGACACCAAAAGGGGCTGCAACCCACAGGTTGAGAACCTCTTCTCTAGCAAAATCTTTACAGATTTTGTTTCTCAAGTCAGGTTATTTGGATGTTTAGTAAGGTATCATTGGGTTATGTCAAAGGCAAACCTGTCTAAAATCAGACTTGAAAAGTCCTTGATCCTAGTCACCCATATTCCTAGTCTTAAGTCCAGAATGAGTATCTACCTACCTACCCTTTATAGTTTCTTGTCATTTGCTACCAACAGCCAGACCCTCCTTCCTGCTGATTTAGCTCCCAAGTTTCTTTCACATTTTTCTTTCTCCCCTCCTTCTAAGCCTGTGCCCTTATTATTTCTCATCAAGACCTTTTAGTTTTGGTCAATCAACTTGGTCTATCCCACCCTTCATCATGGTGTAGAGGTGAGTTTTCTTGATTGCTTCTTGACAAACCTGCTACCTGGGCAAAGGAATCACCTCTGGTATCGTGCTTGCCTTCTGAGGTAAGAGAACTGAAGAGTTCTCTGTTGGTTTGTCAAATCAGACCCAACCATAATATCAAAAAACTCCACACTCTTCTGGCTTGATAATATGTCAGTTTTCTAGCTGCCAGTTATGGTGAAAACTAGGACTGCCTCAGAGAAGGCCAACCTTCTAGGCTGCTGTGAGGCTGCACTATAGCCAAGACCAACTTGGCTCTGAGGTGGTTTCAGCTTCAAACCAGGCTTGGAAATGGATAAAGATAGACAGTGATCATAAGTTGTTTGGTTTTGTTTTGCTTTTTGTTTGTTTTTTGTTTTTTTTTTTTTTTTTCAAAAAAGCTTTTAATGTGACCTCTTGGTAGTCCATAATCTTTACAAAGGCCATGAGAGCATCTGTCAGCATTCATCATTGATTGTCTTGGTTAAAACTCTTTGGCTAAGAGCTGGTTTTTTGTTTGTTTGTTTGTCAGTTTTCAAAGTACCGGGGATTGAACCCAGGGCTCTAACAACTGAACTATGCCTTCAGTCACCCGACCCACACCCTTTCTTTAAATCCTTGGTGCCAAATCCAGACCAGCCTTGACTCCTACTAATCATACTGACACGATCTGGCTCCAGACTCTGACCTCTTTTAAGAATGACAATAGGGACTTGTTTTAGATTCTCTTTGAGCAAACAGAGCTAGGATACATTCCAGATTGGGTCTCAACTTAATCTAAAGGGGGGTGGGGCTATTTAACTAGGTTCTTAATCCAAGGTTTGTGTTTACAGTGGGGACTGGTGTGTTCCCCCAGTCCAGTTAGAATGGGGCTTCATCACCACAGGCTACTAACCAGAAGTCCCTTTCCCTTTATCAAGATAAAAGTTCTTCATCGAGTAATGGTCTCTGATCATCTGCCTTGCTGACTCTTGGAGCTATACATGCAGGGCTTCAAGCCTATCCTAGCATGTCTTTCTTCTCCCTCGTTCCTGGATGATGGGGCCAGGTAAGAGCTGCATGGGCTTTAGGCTTCTCTTGATCATCACAGCGCACCCTGGGTTCTGTTTTAATTCTACAGTGCCCACCCAGGGAACAGGGCTGGCCTCTATCTGCCTGGTCATATGACCACTTTCTTTCTATATGGTCTCACCTAAGAGACCCTCCCCACTCCAGGGTCATCCTGTTTTTCTTGTGTTTGTTGCTATTTTTCTTTCTTTTGTTCTGATGCTTCTGTTGGACTTGCCTCCACAGTGGACTCTGGCTCTGGCTCCAATGGAAGCGATGGTGGCTTTGTGAGCTGGGCTCCTACAGCACCTTGTAAAAAAACAAAAGTTGCATTCTTAGTTACTCATTTCAGAAGAAGTCATTTAAGAGAGAACCCTGTATTGTCTGAAACTATCAAGACTGTAGTGCATCCTGCAGCTAGGAAGGATGCCCATAACTGAAGAAATAAAACATTAAACTTGTGAAAATTAAAGCAAAAATGTACAACATCATGCACATAGTAATGCATTTCTAAACCTAAAAACCGGCAATCCAGCTAAGCCTGCCTATGTTGTTATCTAACAGCTTGCCCTTTAGAAACAAATGCCAGTTTGGTCACTCTGGGCTTTTCCCCTCTGGCTAGTACTAAACTGGCCATTAGTTTGCCCAGAGTGCAAGCCTCGCTCAAAGCTGGGATCTCTGCTGATAGAAGTAGTTTATCCCCACTAAGACTTCGAAGAGCTCTATGTAGCCTCCTACCTGAAGGGAGCTTCCTGTATGCAGCTGCTGAAGACATCGCCTGTCCTAGAGCTTGATTGGAGCCCAAAGGCTGCTGGAGAGCAGCAGATTTGCTGGCTGAATTGGTGCGGTGCTTTGACTTTGGATCTTTGACTGGTTTGGTCCAGACCAGTGCCTCTCCAACCTGGAGGGCAGCTCCCAACTTCTGAGCCATCTCCACCATCTTGTGGCCACACAGGAAGAAAATAAGTCATTGACAAGACCAGCAGAGCCAAGCTGCCTGCTGGTACTAGTAGTTGAAGGAGTAAATACTTAAAATAAGGAAATCACTTTCAAGTGAGGGGATTACAGCACTTGGCCTAAGGAAATCATTCTCTAATGGAGAATACAGGTTGCTTACTGGATACCAAGGTGACTCCTTATAGGATCTCAAAATGCAGTAATTCAAGTTTGATGCTTCACTGGCCAAACTGCCTGTTCTGATAAGCTGTATTAGTGAGAACATAACTCAGTAAACCTGAATTATTTTGTTATTTTCTTCTAGCAAAGTTTGTCTCAGACTAACTAACTGGTAAATTCATGCTGCAAAGAACATGAAGCCCAAAGATGCTTTTGATGCCTTTCATTTACTAACAGCTTGCTTAGTAAGAGACATGGTAGTAATGTTGATGCTAATAAGAGACAGGATAATGATAACTGCTAATAAGAGACATACCTCAGAGTCAAATTCCAGAGTACTGTTGTCCTTGAGAAAGTTGACCTTCTTCTCCATCTCCTGGTACTGGGCCAGGGCACCCTTTTTGTCACCCTGGTTATACAGCAGCACAGCATAGTTCAGGTTTACTAAAGGGTTACATCTGTGGCAGAGAGACAGGGACTCTGTGGGACTAGGGCTCTGCAAAAATTAGTCATTTAAAGATCCTTCTCATTATATGAAATCCAAACAAAGCTAACTAGGGTTGTCCCCATTATACAGCAAAGTGCTATGTGACCCATAGAGCAGAGTCAAGGAACTAACTGCCCAAGTAGCCAAGCAGGATAAGAACCGAGTCTGGCACCAACAAAGCCACCCAGGGAAGGGCTAAACAAGAGGTCCCAGACCTGCTGTGTAGCAAATGCAGGTGGAATAAATTCCCCCAGGAATCTCGTTTGTCTTTGATTAAGCTGAGCCCAGAGTCCCACCTGCTAATTTGGTTAGCTCACGGCTTATCAGCAACCCAAACCAGAGTGCTGCCAACTCTTTACTTGCTTTGGATTCCTGATTATAAAGCTCAGAAATTGTTTTCTCAGACTTTTAATTCTTGCCATGCTCTGCTTGGCTTAAGAACCACAACCTTCTGAATTTATGCTGCACAGTAGCTAAGCTGACCCCAGCAGCATTAGTCCTATGGCACACTTTGTAGAATAACACTCCCTGGCCCTTCCCCACAAAACAGAATGCTCACTTATCCAGGCGGACAGCTTCTGCGTAAGCTCTCTTGGCATTTTCTGTATCTTCCAGATTGGTCAGAGCCACTGCCACAGAGAAAATCAGGAGAGCTCATCTTAGACAGCAAAAATTATACTCTAGACCACTCTCAAAAGAAAGTCGCTTTCATCCTTCAGCTGAGACGTCTCACCACAGCAATCAGCTGCAGTGTCATGGGTCCTACTTTTGCCACTGCTCTTCCGATATTGTCCTTGTTCAAGCCCAAACCAAGTTCTCCATTTGTCCATACCTGCCTCCATCCTCTTGCTGACTTAGAAACAAACTGACCACATCACTGTCTACCTAAGGGTCCTCACTTGTTCCCCATCACCTATAACCAAGATCTTTAATACTTAGTGAGCCATAGACAATTCCCCTCTTTTTTCAAACCCAGGATTTCTTGAAAGCCTAATATATAAACTTAAAAATAGCAACTCCACCTTCCCCGAAGTCAATCAGGCAACTATGAGACCTAGGAATACAGAAGGACCATAAGCCATTCCATAGCCATAAACTATGTGGCCATTCAAGTCTAGTTTATCCTTAGGGCCGTGTGAGGCTGGCCTTTCTTTGTCAAGTTAGAACTGGTGCTTCTGCCCTAATGTAAGCATGAGACACTCTTCTCTTACAGTACAGCTCTGCGCCTCTCCTGAAACTTGAGCTAGCTTTGTATTCTGGTGTTCTCCAAACAACCTCCATATAGTTGCATTTGATTTTCTCTCATCAATTGAAAATGCCGTAGTAATGATCAAAATACACACTAGGAAAAACTCCCTAAAAGGACTATTTAGTTACTTCTTTAAAATGGTTTTTGCTGTGTTTTGCTGTGTCAGGGGTCTCACTAATGTAGCTCAGTCTGGCTTCAAATTCATTATCTTCCTACCTCTATCTCAAAAGCCAGGATTATACACATGATCTACCTCTGCCCACCTTAATTTTTATTTATTTTGTATGGCATAAATGGAAGTTTGGGCTAGAATGATAGTCTAATTTCACTTAACTACCAGTTGTATTAACAAAAATAATGGGATCAGTGGGATGGCTCGTGAGTGAGGGTGCTTGCTGCCTGATGACTTGAGTTGGATCCCTGGAACCCACATGACAGAAAGGAAGAAACTTTTTCCTCAAGTTGTCCTCTGACCTCCATATGTGCACAGTGGTATAAATTTTTGTTGTTTTGTTTTTGAAAAGGGACAAATGATTTAGTAACCATGATAAACCCTAAGTGAGCTCAAATCAATTAGGTTCAATATATATATGAGGGCTGTTAGTTCACCTCAGTGGTAGAATGTTTATCTAAGCTACATGCAGGATTCAATCTCCAGCACAAAAAAAAAAAAAAAGAAAGAAAAAGAAAAAACTGCTAAAAGATTAAGAGGAGAACTCTGAGGTTCTGGAGAGATGGCTCAATGGTTAAGAGGACCCCCAAGTTATGAGCCATCAGTTACTATCTGTAACTCTAGTTCCAAAGAACTCAATGCCTTTTTCTGGACTCACGTGTGCATACACTCACACACAGACATTTAAAAATAAATTTTAAATTCTTCTTTTAAAAAGCTAGGGTGTAGTACACGCCTTTAATCCCAGCACTCTAGAAGCAGAGGCATTCGGATCTCTGAGTTGAAGACCAAGACCACAGTAAGTTTCAGACTAGCAAGGACCACATAGTAAGAACCTGTTTTTTTTTTTTTTTTTTTTTTTTTTAAAGGGTTTTTTTTTTTTTTCCTGTTAATACTCTGAGTTCAAAACCTTAAGGTTACAAGCAACCAGATACCTGGTCACCTTTTCTTTTTGTTTGTTTTGTCTTTTTTTTCGAGACAGTATCTCTTTAAGTTTGGAGGCTGTCCTGGACCTCACTCAGTAGACCAGACTGGCCTCCTGAGTGCTAGGATTAAAGGCCTGTGCCACCACCGGAACACCTTTTCTTTTAAACTTCTTCAAACTCTGAGGCAGTAATTCTGATTCCTATAGGACCTCCAAAGGAATGTCTGTTTTAGGACATTTAATTCTAACCTATGATTCTAATTAACTTTTCCATCATTATAACTCACAAGAAGGGGTTTTTATATAAATGTCCCTTACCAGCCAAGAGCATGTAGAGTTCCCCCATCTTTGGCTGGAAGTTGATGGCTGCACTGAGAAAATGGAATGCTGATGCATACTGCTGCATAGTCAAATGGACAAGGCCCAGATTGTACAGAATCTTCCAATCGAAGGGTGCCAAGTAATTGGCTCGTTTTAGGCAGCTGATAGCCTGTAGAAATAGGGGCACTCAACACAGCATAAAACAAGCTCAGCAGATCCAATACCCACATGGATGAGTACCAACAAGGATTATAAGGAACACTCACTGCCACGTATTTCTTCTTGCCAAAGAAACACATTCCAATGTTATTCCAAAGTGGAGGACTTTCTGGAATAGCACAAGCTACAACTCTGTATTTGGTGAGGGCAACATCAAAGTCCCCATGGGTCTGCATCATGCTGCCTGCTGCCAAGATGGCCTGAAAACATAGTGCATTCAGTTAGTCATTCAGTCATTCAAGAAGGCCCTGAAACAGTCTCTTGATGTACATAGTAAGTGCATCAGCACAGACATGACCAAGAAACTTCTTCTAGGTACATGAGTATATCCAACCTACTAGGGCAGATACTCCTAAGAAATGTCTTTGGAATCCCACAGCATAAAAACCATATAATGTCACTGGCTCTATCTAGCTCCATTTGTCTCCTATTTCTAGCTGGGGAAACCAGTATTATGGTTAATGACTGCCTTTCATCTGCCTTACTTTGTATACTAAATGCTCCAGATACCTCACATACACCTGTATATGGATACTTAGTACCCAGCTCTTTCTGGGTCAGCATGCAGTGGCTTTAGTTTTTGTTTGGTTTTGGTTTTTCAAGAAAGGGTTTCTCTGTAACAGCTCTGGCTGTCCTGGGACTACCTTTGTGGACCAAGCTGGCCTGGAACTCACAGATATCTACCTGTCTTGCCTCTGTGTCCTGAGTGCTGGGATAAAAGACATGAGCCACCATGCCCAGTTTAGCTTTAGTTTTTATCAGTCCAGCCCTATCATTTCTTTAAGGAAAGGTATCAAGGTGGGGAGCCAACAGAGCCAGGCTACTGACTTCCTAAATGATGACCAAGTTTGTGTTGAACAGTACTGTCTCCCTCAGTAATGTTCATTCACTTGACATTCTCATCCCCAAGTCACATCTGGAAGTTATAATTTGAAATTCACTAGGATCAAGACAATTGTTGCGGAAGCTTGGCTAAATTCTCAAGCAACACATGAACTCAAATGGCACTCGAACTTTGTGGCAGTCTGTTCCCACAAATGTGCTCCTTCTAAAGAAACTGAGAGCATCAACACTTTACTATTGTTTCAGTAAGAACTAATCTTAAAAAAAAAAAGATTTATTTATTTATTTATTTATTGTACAGTGTTCTGCCTGTGCACTGAAAGAGGGTACCAGATCTCATTATAGATGGCTGTGAGCCAACATGTAGTTGCTGGGAATTGAACTCAGGACCTCAGGAAGAGAAGCCAGTGTTCTTTAGCATTGAGCCATCTCTCTAGCCCCAAAACTAACTTTTAAAAATGCGAATTATAAATAAAAGGTGATTTCTGGGACAGGGATGTACCTTAGTGTGCCTAGAACACACAAAACTCTGGCTTTGTTCCCCAGCACCAACATACAGATACACACAAAGTAAACTTCTTGGGTATTTAAAATGAGAAACCTATCCCCTATTTCCTAGGGTCTGATCATCTATAGAGTCATGGGACCATCTATAGGAAGGCTCTGTAGTTCCATAGCCTGCAATACCTTGTAGTTGGCAGGGTCGTAAGTCAGTGCATTCCCAAGATGTTCAAATGCCTTCTGGTAAACACCGAGCTTGAAAGAAAGCAAACCACAGGATTTACCTCAGGGGGCAGATGTCAGTTCTGGAGTCTGGCCAACTGTACCCTGAATGGAAACAGGTAGTCATTTGTGAGTTCTCTTGACCCTACCACCCCCAATAGTAATAATAATAATAAATAATGACATCCTAAAATTTGCAGACAAATGGGCAGAACTAGAAAAAGCCATCCTGAGTGAGGTAATGCAGACCCAGAAAGACAAATATAGTATGTACTCACTTATAAGTGGATACCAGTCATATAGCAAGATACCCAGCCTACAACCTACAAGCCTGGAGAAGCTAAACCCTCTTCCAGGAACAGATGGAAGCAGATGCAGAAATCTACAACTAACCAATGGGCCAAGCTCCTGGAGTACAATTGAAGTGAGAGAGAAGCAATAATAGGAACAAAGGAGTCAAGACCATGAGGGGGAAACCCACAGAATCAGCTGACCTGAGCTAGTGAGAGATCACTGACTCAGGTCTGACAAATGGGGAACCTGCGTAATACCGAACTAAACTCCCTTAATATAGGTGACAATGGTGCTGCTGGGACAATATATGAGGCCACTGGCAGTGGTTCCAAGATCTAACTCTAATGCACAAACTGAGCCCATTCTATATGGAGAAATACCTTGCTCAGCCTAGACACAGGGGTGTGGGGGGTAGAGAGATACCTTGGTCCTGCCTCAATGAGATGATGGGACAGACTTAGTAGACTTCCTAGGGGAGGCCTTACCCTATCCAAGAAGCAGATGGGAGGTGGTAGTGGTGGGAAGAGAGGAGGGAGGGGGAACTGGGATGAGAATGTAAAAAATATTTAAAAAAAAGCAGTATGCCAAATAAAACATAAATCTCCATGTTTGTGGTTTTCTTATTTTTCTCCTAATAAGGTTAAAATATCTTCTGCCCAAAAACCATTTCAGAAACACTCCTTTTGATCAATATTAATGCCTCCTGGCTGGGACTGTGGTAGTTAGCATCATGTCCTATGGGCATGTTCACAACAAAGCCCAGAGGACCCAGAGTTAAACCCTTGGTTCTTCTTAAAGCAGTAGTTATAAAAGCTACTTCAGAGGCACATCAGCTGAGCAGGAACCTGTAGGTGGGCAGGGTAAGACAGTCAGAGATGTGGGGCTTCAGGGACTCAGGTGGACAGAAGTGGCAGACTTAAAGAGTCCCATCTACACTTAGGAATGTGAAGGGAAGGGGAGGTTTCCTCTCTAAAATTCTATCCCTTACTCATGTCTCCTGCAGGACCTTAGATAGTAAGATGAACAAACAGGAACAGTCTTGGCCTCAAAGCCCCACAAAGTGGTAAAAATGTATCAGTTTTTTCTTCCTTTCCCCCCAAAATAAGATAACGGCCCCCATACCACACAGTTGTTTCATTCATTCATATATATATATATATATATATATATATATATATATATATTATATTTATAAAAAAACACAACAGATGCAGAGCTCAGATGAAATAGAATTATGACTTGAGCCAATGTTAATTCTTTAGTACATAAAAACAAACCAAGGCTCATGTGTGTACTGTGACTGTTAGCAAAATGTGCCAAATAGAAAAATGAAGGAAACCACCATAGATACAAACCCTAAAGCATTTCTAATTCCAGTGTGTGAATAAACAGTTTTCATTACCTGTAAGTAGAGTAATCCTAAAGTTGTAAGAAGGTCTGTATTTTCTGGCGAGAACCTGTAACATAGAGATGCTCACAGGAAACCATGGTTATGAGATACAGACTTGGACAGCCATTTGTCCCATTGCCAACACTCAGAACCCTTTATTAAACCTCTTCTGTTCCCATGTAAACTTCTGAGGGCAGTTTGGCAATCTCCTTCAAAAGCAAAACATCTCAATCCCGGCAACAGAGAAGACCTGCTTAGCAGAATGTAATGGGGCTTAGAACCCAGCAACCTTAAAGAAGAACTGTGTGGAATAACTCATTACACTGAAAATAACCAATCTTAAGCCAAGTCAGTCAGGGCACAGTTATGCTAGTCCCTCTCTTGGGAAGTCTTTTTGCCACTTTCCCTGTGCTTAATAATGGCAGGCAGCCTACTTCCTGTGTTATTTAAGACTCAAGGCCCCTGACACTGTGCTCTCGAAACTAACCTGCCAAACTAAGCAAAAGAAGAAAGGCACATTCCAGCTACTTCAGAGGCACATCAGCGGGGCACATTCCAGCCCTGGACACTCACCTAAGTATTATCTGCCTTCTCAGTCTCTCACTGATACTTGTCTTTGTCAAAAAGCCAAAGCAACAGAGGTGAGACCATCTAAATATAGGATCATCAATTTCAATGGTTAAAGCATCAAAGAGCAAGGAGCTGTCTCCTGCTTGTAAGAAAGAAAGGAGGATGCTTATTCCTTGAGGGAAGTCCAGAACCTCCAAAGCCCAACCCATGCCTGAGCTGGCAAACAGCTTTTTCAGTGCAATAGAGAATTTGCCTCTAATCTTTCTGTAGTAAGGATCCATTTTGATCATGTCCCTTCCCAAATCACATATGTAACTTGTGCTTCCCATTCTTCTGATTCAATCAGTATGTATTCCCCTGCCAAGAACAGTTCTCTGCAGAGCTTTGGGTCTTGAACCTACCATCTCAAATGCTCAACTGTCTGGTTTTCTCCTTGGAAAGTGACTCAAGTCTCTTGAGTTGTTACTGTCAGTACCCTTACTGGGGTTCATGTGTATTAAGTCAAAATGTATAGGATAAGGGTCAGGAACAGGCCTACTCTCCAGCATTACAGAAGCCTTTGACTTATTCAATGGATCCTTCCTACTTGTCTACATAAGCCTGACCTTTTTTGATGATAGAAATTGCTGTAGCTTACCAAACACAAGAGATTTTTTTTTAAGATTTTATTTATGTATTATGTATACAACATTCTGCTTCCATGTATATCTGCACACCAAAAGAGGGCACCAGATCTTATAACAGATGGTTGTGAACCACCATGTGGTTGCTGGGAATTGAACTCAGGACCTCTGGAAGAACAGCCAGTGCTCTTAACCTCTGAGCCATCTGTCCAGCCCCCACAAGAGATTATTTTGTCAAAAAATGTGGTTAAATAAAATGCATAAAGCAGTGCTATGATTGATATAGCCAGGAAATTCAACCTGTGGTAGATGCAGCTAAGAAGTGACCAGTACTCTACACCAGTTCACAGTTTTAGTTCATGAGTCACACATATTCTATTCTGTGATCAAACAAAACACCTGAGCATTTTACTACAGCTGTTCTATTTAAAAGAATCAAGCCAGGTGCAGAGGCAGGAGGATCTCTGTAAGTTCCAGGCCAACCTGGTCTACATAGTAAGTTCAAGGCAGCCTGGGCTACCTACTGAGATCCTATCTCAAAATAAATAAATTAAACAAGGTAATACTACACAGAAAAGATTCCATGTGTCCCTAGAAAGGAAACTTGGGACAGTAGCATGAGAAATTCAGTCATCCATTATCAACAGGTTAACAGGTTACCTTGGTATTTTTTAAACAGCAACAAAACCCATGATATTGTGACTGGAGTGAGGCTGAGTTGTAGCACTTGTGTTTGGTTAAGCATGGGCAAGATTCTATCCTCAGCATAAAAAGATAAAATATAAGACATAATGGTCTTAGACTAATAAAAGCACATGTCTGTTACTGAGCTAGGAGACTTCTGTCCCTAATGTCATCTCTAGGAACACAGGATCTGCTATAAAGTATTAAACTAGATGATCACAGTACCAACTGACCCCAAATTCTTGCCTAGTGCATGCCCACCTTTGCAGCTGTGTGCTCCTACCTAATTTCAAAAAGTGCACAATTTTAGGGTTATTTAAGAGTAGAGATGCTTACTCCATATTTAGCTTCAATATGGCCTAGAATACATGTTACAGTTAAGTTACCCACCTTTAGTCATGCAGGTGAAAATAACCACCTAAGGAACCTAAATCACTAGTTGGCCTGTGAAGCAGCTAGCCTAGAACAGACACTTACAGAAAAAAGAAACAATCTCTTCTCCTAAGAGTTTACATATCTGTTCCATTGCTTTTCTCATTGTTTCCAGTAGGTGTGTCCAATGTGTGTCCATGGGCTGCAAGGGTTCCATGACAGTTCTGAATGTGTCCCAACAAAAATGGCAGACTTACAGAAAACTGAGGGGTGTGTGTTTGCGCATGTGTGTATAATTTTTTTGTTATTCAATTGTGCAGTTCTTGAGGGTGAACTTTGTAGGTGATAATTTCATGTTGCAATGTTAAAAGGGTGGACGCGCTCGTTAAGAGTCTGAGAAAAAGAGACACTTACTCTACTGCTTTCTTGTAGATCTCAATGGCTTTGTCCAAGTCTCCCTCCAGTAAGTGGATCTTCCCCAGCATTATGTAAGTCAGGTCATGCTTGTTAAGCTGGAGGGCACTGTGCAATTGGTCTTGTGCCTAATTAAATTTTAATGGAGTAAAGAGAACCAAATCAATACTGTTGAAGGACAATGGTCTTCTATGGTGAATGTGAAAGCACAGCTTTAATTCTTATGTGGGAACATCATGTCTCAGAAAATAGCTTTTACCACCTAAAAAACAAGCATAGCCTAGCTGGCTTCGCTGAGCTCATATGCAACGATCAAGTTTCTGATCGTTTCTGATGTTTTCTGTTTGGTATTTACACCTAATGACTTAAACTTCAAAACCCCAAAGGGACATCATAGTACAGTATAGAATACCACTGCAAACTCAATCCCACCTACACTCCTGACTACCTGCACAACCTTTCCAGCTGGACTGTTTGCCTTTATAGTGTGAAAGCAAATAAACACCAAAGTTGTTCTTATTTATTCATTCAACAAGTACTCATTGTGGGCCTGCTGGTCCAGACGCCTGGTACACTAGAGTTAACAAGAAAATAATGCTATGGCTGTGTCTGCCTTGTAGAGGCTCTGGATTCAGTCTCCAACACCATACAACAAAGAGCAAATATAAAATAACTTTTTGCTCTGGAGGAGCCTACATCTTAGTAGGCTAAAAAAGACTTGTTCATTCACTGATTCAATGAAGGCTTCTATAAATGCCAGGTGTTGTGTTTGTTTAGCCAGTTAGGCATTATAATAAATCTAAATATAACTCTCTACCGAAGTACAGGTACAAAGACTAATCCTCCCTCTCAAGACTTAGCTATACTATGAACAGGAATGTACTTGATCAAAAAGTCTCCAAAGAGAAAAATTTAATCAGCTATACAAAACTATAGATTCCTCAAGAAAACTTATGTGTTCCACTGAATACATATTTTATTATATATGACTTACAAAAATAATTCTTACACTCCAATTGCTATATGCAGATATTTGTCATAACCCTGAAAGATAGACTAGGTTATATTGTGATCTTGCAAAGCCTTAGTATTTGAGAGTCAGTCTTGGTGGAAGAAAAAAAAAAAAAAAAAAAAGGACAAAGCCTCAGGTTATGAAGGAAACTATAATCACCATCACTACCCTTCGGGAACACTAAAAAACTCATCTGTTCCTCAATTAAGACTTGTATTTAAGGCTAGAGAGATGGATCAGTAGTTAGGAACACTGGCTGCTCTTACAGATGACCCAGAGTTCAATTCCCAACATGCAGTTGATAGCTCACAACCACCTATAACTATAGTTCCAGAGGATCTGAAGTTCTGGCCTCCAAAGGTACACACATGGTACACAGTCATACATTCAGACCAAACACATAGTAAAATAAAAAAATTTCCAAGTTTTAGTTCAAAACAAAACAAAAAAACAGGTATCTATTTCTTAATTTGAGAACTGTTCAAAGTCTTAGAACACAGAGTTTGTCAGAGTGAAATATAAATTCACATCAGAAAAAATTCTTATCATAAAACAAAATTCAACCCATTTAAATTCACTTTCCAGCCCTGAGAAGGTCCACTTTTTGATACGTGTCTAACTGTACATGTGTTTCTATACTAGAACATTTAATGGGAGGTGGAGAGAAAGGAGAGAGAAGGCAACTGGACTGCCACTGATAGTCTAGAATTCCCTCCCCCCTTTAAATCAAAAGTAGGAAAAAATAGGTTGGAGAGATGGCTCAGTGGTTAAAAGCACTGACTGCTCTTCCAAGGATCCAGGTTCAATTCTCAGCACCAACATGGCAGCTCACAACCGTCTATAACTCCAGTTCCAAGGTATCTGACACCCTCACAACATGCATACAAGCAGACAAAACACCAATACATATAAAATAAAAATAAATAAATCATTAGAAAGTAGGGGAAATGAGTAATGACAAGTATTAACACGGCAATAACTATAAAAGGCAATTTTTACTACCCAAGCAGACAGAACCAACAGTGGACAGTGGCTCTTCTGTGACAAATGAACCACAGTGAATTCCAGTCAACGACCATCACCATTTTTATGAATTACCTTGCTGAACTGCTTTAGATAAGTATAGCACACTCCCAGGTTATGGCAGATCTCCTACACACAAAAGAAAGGAGAGTGGTGAGGAGTTAGTCTACAGTAAGCAGTTAAACACTGTAGTTGGAGTTTTTTGTGTTCGAAAATACACGTGATTCTACAAAAAAAATCCTAAGTGTGTGTCTGTGTGTGTGTGTGTGTGTGTGTGTGTGTGTGTGTG